TGTTGGCGGTGCCGACGCAGTTGTAGCTGGTGCAGCTAAATTTGAGTGGTAAGAAGATTAGATAGGCTTTTTAGAGCGAAATACCGACCACCGAAAGTCAGAGACGGCTGCGTTGTTGTTGATGGAGCAGAAGTGGTTGCTGCAGTTGAGAAAACTGAAAAAGTTCAGCTTCAGCTTGTCCATCTCAAACTTATCTCAAACGATTGCTACACTTACGTGAACCAGCAGCAAATCCCGTGGATGTTGTAGTGGATGCAGCTGTGGATGCAGCTGTAGATGTTGCAGGGGCAGAAAACCCAAACATTCTAAAACCGGGAGTAAACTCACAATTCAATTTCATTCACAAGTCCGTGAGTGAAAAAGTATGGATATTACGCGCAAAACAAAAAAGGGAAAGGAGGTTTTTCACAAAATTATTAGACAACAATGAAGAAGATACGTTCACCGCAAACAAGAAGAGGGATTGTCGCTCCCCGGTTCATTTACCAACTTCCAGTTTTCGTCTGCAGCAAAATTCAAAAGACGGTTTAAAGGTCGCAACAACGCCAACGCGCTCTACTGCTAAATTGATGCGATTTTTATTTTGCGAGCTGCATTTTTGGATTCCCAGCATGAAAAACGAGTGATGTTTGATTCTCTTTTCTTTTTACATGTCTATTATGTGGAAATCATTTGCAATTCTGAATTGAATCCCGCGTTTTTGTGTTCCAGCTGTGTCGCATTGGGTTATCATTTATCAAATCTTGTGGTAATCATTATTCCTCTTTCATCATGGTTTGTCTTCTATCTTCTACGGGCCTCCCTATCCTGTACAATTCTTCATGTCTGAATCGTTCCTCGCTTCAACACTGAAAACAGCGCCCCACTTAAAGGACAGCGAAGCAGCTCGAATGCTTCGTCATCGCATTGTAAAGCCCTCCATTTGTTGTTGTCGGTTCTAGCATGTGCTTCTATTTTTTGGAGCTTGCCTTTGACAAAGTTTACACAGTGTGCACCTGTATAGAATATCTGCCTACTCAGTGCTGCACCCGGTTTAAAGTGAATTTTCTGCCAGCTGGCTGCAAAGATAACATTTTTCTTAGTGCAGCGAGAAGAAATCGTTTCTAGATGAGCATAGCGCTTTTGTCTTTCACTGAAAATCCTTTTAGTTATTTCAACTTTTTCAATCACAGCAATGAATCGGCTCTTTTCTTTAGTAAAGCCACATTTGAATTCATTCATTCTAATTACTACACTCGTTTTCAAATCAAAATTCTGGTGAATCTGCTTCGACGATCTTGCATTGATTACCATTAATTGTCTAGTGAATATTCAAAGCGATATTCAAAGCAATTGGTGGCAAATATGTATCAAGTACTTATAACCTTGTTTATCTGTGAGGGGTGGGGGAGGGGGGAGAAGGATCTATATCACGATTGTGTTAACTTTACTGGATAATTCTAGTCAGTGTTAGAAAATTCGAAGGTTTCATCCGTCTGCCTATACCCACCGTAACCCTTCAATAAGAAGCTACTGTAATGATTTTGAATGACGTTTCCAATCAGCAGTTTGCCTCCTGTACCGAGTTTTAGCGGATTATCTCAACTTTGGAGTGTATAATGGAATGGCTTACATAAAAAACCAATGAAGTAGCCCGCGCCATACTTGATCCGCTTGATCTACCTGATCCACTATGCTACTGGTCAAATCAGTGTGCTGACCAATAGCGAAGTGGATTAGGTGGATCAAGTGGACATCGCTTCACTATTGGCAGCTCGCTAACTTGACCAGTCCGAAGCGGAACAATTGGATTAGCTATGGCGTGGGTATCCTTTGATTCAATCAGATAGGCGGTTGGAAGGCGGGGTTTTGTGACCTAGTTAAGGCTAGAGAGTGA